TGGGGGCAAAGAGACCTGGAGATCAAGTGTGTGGAGATCTGCAGAGATCCAGGGCAGGCAGCCACCTTCCCAGGTCATTTTCTGAGACTGGACAGCCAGGGGGTCCAGGCCGCCTGTCGCTACGTGAGCCAATTCAGCAGAGACAGGGGTAAATCACATATGAACGTTTATTGCAATGATGTGGGCAGCATGGAGAGCAGCAGGTCATCCAGGAAAATCTGCTCTACCCTCCGCCATAGGACAAAGATTACATGGGTGAGAGGAGTTACAGGCCTGGGGAAGTGGGCAAGCTATAATGTTACAGGTTACAGGCAATGCGGGCTGGGTGTGTGTGTGGGGGGGGGCGGGGGGCAAAGGGCGGGGCAAGGTTGTCCATCTTCCCAGGATTATGGGCAGTTCTCAGAAAAGGAGGATGGACTGCATTCCGATTAGCTCCCAGGTTCGGGGCAGACAGCTCTCGGCCGGGTTAGACTGTGCTTTCTCTAACCGGAACAGAGCCACCATGGTTCACCAAGCATGATTCATATTTCTCATGGTTATAGCTGGTCCCCACTGTTTCTGCTCCAAAAGCTTCCACTCAGAGGTTTGTCTGGCCAGTGAGTCTGGGGCAGAGGAACAGGAAAGCTCTTAGCTTGACAGCTGTGGCTGAGAGTGGAGACTCAGACAGACCAGTAATGAATCTGGGGGAGATGGGGGTTGGCAGAGGAGGAGAGATGTTGACCTCTCATCTACTTTCAGGCTGGGCAGTGAAGGCAGGGGGAGTTCCCCTGGGGAGGAGGGGCAACAGGAGGTGTGCACCTGGTGGCTGCTGAGGAGAGAGGAGGGGGCACCACTGTGAGAGGCACAAAGCCCTCCCACCCCCACGGGGGATGAGGGGAGGGTGGGCATCAGGGCTCACTCTCCCTTTTATTGTCACTCTGCACCCCCTTCTTCGACCTTGGGACCCGTGTGCTGATGTGCGATGTGCAGGATGGGGCTTGGCCAGGGTCCAGGCGGGAGAGCTGCTCCGTGTGCCCTCTGTTGGTGTGTGTGTGTGTGTGTGTGTGTGTGTGTGGAGTCGTCTGTCCCCGGTGTCAGAGTCAGAGGAGTCAGGGCTGAGGAGAGTTCAGGTTGGCTGTTGGGAGGGAAGATCAGAGTCTGTCCCGCACCTCTCTTTCCTGCTGACGGGAGAAAACACGAACTTGGGCTGGGATCTGAGGCTAGTGAGGCCGCAGCCCTCTGGGCTGGGCTCCGTGGGGCAGGGAGAAGGCTGGGCTCTCATTCTCTCGGGGTCTCCGCTCCAATGGCCTGCCTCCACTCCTGCCACCGTTCACCCTAGGACATTTGCCTTTTGCCAAACTTCAGTAGAATCACTGGAAGCTTTAAACAGATTTCTGAGCCTCATCTCTGACTTACAGACTCCTGGGGGGAGGACTCTGTATTTGTAAGAAGCGCCCCCAAAGCCTGGCTGGTGTGGTTAAGCATTGACCTACGAACCAGGAGGTCACAGTTTGATTGCTGGTCAGGGCACATGCCAGGGTTTTGGGCTTGATTCCCAGTGTGGGGCGTGCAGGAAGCAGCCCTTCAATGATTCTCTCTCGTCATTGATGTTTCTATCTCACTCTCACTCTTCTTTCCTCTCTGAAATCAATATATGTATATTTAAAAGCAGCACTCCCAGATGATGCCGTGCGAACCAGGCTGGAGAGCACAATGAGCAAACTGGAATCTAAAGGTCGCTGCCCTGGAAAGGGGCAGGAAGGCGGGAGCTTCCCGGGACTCCTGCATCCCTTGCTGACACCCAGCACTCTTGCTTCCCTCTGAGCTGGAAGGGGGTGTCATGGCTGTTCCCCAAGAACACAAAGGCTATCCAGTGATTGCTGGCTGAGCAGATGAGCACTGGGTTGATGGGGGAATGAATGAATGCTCACTGGGCTCAGGCATCCGGGAGAGGTCTGGAGAGAGTGAGGGGGGACTTCCCACATGGAGCCAGACCCGGAGGGCAGAGGGATTTTGAAACAGAAAGTCCAGCACGCCCAGCGGAGGTGGGCTTGGAGTGATCTGAGGGACAAAGCTGCCCCCACTGTGAGGTTCACAGCCCTTCCTGCGAAAGGGCAGAGGGGCCTGGTTTCCCTGGGGGGGGGGGGGTGAGGGGTGCAGGAGGTGCGGGGGGCATAGGGGTGCGGGGAGGACAGTGGGCAATGGAGAGTTCTGGTCCAGCCTGGTTGATGGGTTCTGTGACTTGGGCGTGCCAATACCTCTTTCAGGCCTCCATTTTCCAGCCTGCTGTTATCACCAATGACTGATTTTCAGTTCTCCTCCCTCCCGCCTCCCATGTAATGGAAGGGGAAGGCTTTCAGATGGAAGGGGAAGGATCCAGCTGTGATCATCTAGGTGGGCGCTGTGAAAGGCGGGTCCACCTGATGGATGGGCTTTTTCAGAGACCCAGGACCGGGCCAGCGGACAGAGTGGCTCTGCCAGGGATGCCCTACGCGTCGGAGACGGGGCAGGGCAAATAGGCGGGGGTTCTGCGGATACCTGGGGTTGAAGGATATCCTTGGCAGGCGGGACGTGTCTGGTGCTGGGTGGTGGGCTCTGAGCTGGACGGGAGACGTGGTCAGAGCTCTGCACCCCTCTGCCTGCCCTGGTGTCAGTGCCGGCCCCTGACCGGAGGTCCCCACCAACCCGGAGCCTCCGCACAGCCACCCCCTCCATCTCCGCCCAGCCATCTTCTCCGGCCTTGGAGTTGGAAACTAAACATGGGAAAGGGGCCCAACGCACGGCCTGGCACAGAAACAGGGTTAATGTTTGCTAAGTGAATTAATGAATACATGAATAATGAGAATGGTGCAGAAAAAGAAACGAGCTGCTGGAGACTTCCAGCCGGATACATGAAGGGAACAGTGCTCTAAGGAAGTTCCCTGTTGAGCTCAAACAGGGTGTGCTGGGGTCCTGTCTTGTATCAGTTCTCTCCCCCGCGTCCCCCAAGCCTCATCAGCAAGTCCTCACCTGCTGGTCTGGCTGTGAGGGAGAGCGTGGCAGGTGGGGGAGGTAGAAACCATGGACAGCCATGGCAGCTCCTGGCCTGGGGATCTCTGCCTTTCCCTGCCACCAGCCTCTGGGCTAACGATTTGCACAAAGGCCTCCCTTCCTTTCCCACCTCGCTACTCCCCCCACCCCCACCCATAGATGTGGTATCTGGGCATTTCTGGGGTCAGGGATAGATCAATGACCTCCAAACCAGAGGAGGGGGTAGGTGGGAGGGAGCTAACATTTATCAAGAAACTGCTACATGCCAGGCCCGTTGCTTATATGACTCAGTTATTCTCACAGCCTTTGTAGGGTATGCGCCACCCCCATTCCGTTTCCTAGTACAGAGATCGCACACCCCATGAACACAAGGACCATGCCTGTCTTGTTCACTGGATTCACAGGTTCAGGACTTCAAAATAAATGGACGGATGAATGAAAAACCCTACAGCGTTTCTGGAGAGGGCGGACTGTGTAAACACCTACATGTGGAACAGAGGGTGTGGGAATAAGTACAAAGGAGGCTGATGGAGTCTGCTGGGGGGTGACAGGAAGGCTTTTTGGAAGAGGAGCTGTATGAGCAGGTCCTGGATTAAGAACAGGAATTTCTCATGTGAACAGAGGGGGTGAGAAAGAACCGGGGGCAGAGGACACTGTCTTGGAAAAGGCACAGAAGTGTGAGATGCATGACCCATTTAGGGACCATGATGGCACCCGAATGGCTGGGGTGTAGGGCGGGGGGTCAGAGGTCGCTGCTAACAGTGAGGCTGGAGCAGAAGACAGGAGCCAGATCCTGGTGCGGAGCAGTGGGAGCGCAGTGTGAAGCAGAGAGAGATGAGACTCGGTTTAAGTTTCAGAAAGATCCCTTGGCAGCTGTGGGTTGGTGGATGGGCAGAGTGGGATGGAGAAAATGAGCCAGTGGCCAGGGAACCACCAGGCAAGACAGGGCTGTGCCCGTGGGGCTGGGCAGCAGACACGGATGAATAAGTGGGGACTTGGCAGGGCTCCCTGAGAGCCAGGACGCCCCTGAAGGTGTTGGGAGTGTCAGGCTCTCTCTGGAGCTTCTGGTTTGGATGGGCTGTTTAGAAAGATGGAGGCCCAGTGTGTTCAGGAGGCTAAGACAACGCTGGGTGCCGTCAGCGCCATCAGCATGGAACAAAGGCACGTCAGCCTGACGGGATGTGTGGACTGACAGGGCGGAGCTGGGAAGATGCAGCAGCTGCGATCCTGATGAGGTGGCCAGGCCTTTCTGGTCCGGAAGGAAAGGAGGTGAGGGGGAGATGTGGCAGCAATCTTAGGAAAACAGACCGGGCCTTAAATTGCCAACGACTCTCTACAGAGCTTCAAAGGGGAAAACTTTAAGCGAAAAGAAACCGTCCTTCACAGGTTGGCTGTGAATTTCTAGGGGAAGTGTGGGCTGCAAACCCCTGTGGAGGTCGGGAAACTTCCCGGCTAAGCGGCCAGGGCAGGTGGGAGGACAGGGTCCTGGAGCTCCAGTGGGGCAGCTGCATGTTGGGGGCGGGGGCAGCCTCTGTGCCTGTCCGCACAGGCTCCGGGCTCTGGGCAGCCGCTCCTGGCTGCAGAGGAGCTGTGCGGAGAGGGGGCAGTGAGGGCCCCTCTTTGGACCTGGTTTCCTCGTAGGTAAAAGGGAGGGTCCATCTGCCTGGCAGTGGTTATTTTATTCCACCGATTGAACTGGCGTGGCTCTGGGTTTGGGGACGCACGTGGTGAGGAGAGGAGTGGGGGGAATGGGAGACTGAGAAGCAGAGAAGCCCCCAGGATCAGGGCCTGGGACCTCGGGGGACCGGGAGCGTGGACACAGTCATTCACCGGAGACCCTGGTCCTAGGGACAGAGCAGTGAACAGGACAGACCCAGTGCCTGCCCTCAGGGCTCACACTTGGTGGACACACCGGGGCCCAGAAGCCTCTCAGCTGTGGTGCAGTCACAGGAGGGGTGGCCTCAGCCGGTCCCTGTGTGTGCCCCTTGCAGGTGTTCTCCGTGGCGCCCCCGTTTGAGGTGAACGGTCTCCCGCGAGCTGTGCCTCTGAGCCTGCCCTGCCAGGACTTCAAGAGAGACCTCTCCGACTGCCGCGAGCGGGCCCGGCTGCTGCACAGGGTCCGGAGGGTGGGCTTCTCGCACATGCTCCTCACCGCCCCCCAGGCCCCGCTGACTCCCATGCAGCCTCAGGCCAATGGGAAGGAGGAAGAGGAGGAGGAGGAAGAGGAGGAGGAGGAGGAAGAGGAGGAGGAAGAGGAGGAGGATGAGGACGAGGATGAGGAGGACGAAGAAGAGGTGGAGGAAGTGGAGGAGGAGGAGGCAATAGCCCTGGGGGAGGCCCTGGGGCCCTGCAGTGGCTCCAGCAGCGAGGGGAGCGAGAGGAGCACCGACCGCAGCCAGGAGGGCGCCCCGTCCACGCTGCTGGCTGACGACCAGAAGGAGGCCAGGGGCCGGGCCTCCATGGCCGACGGGGACCTGGAGCCCGAGGAGGGCTCCAAAACGCTGGTGCTCGTCTCCCCCGGGGACATGAAGAAGTCGCCCGTCACTGCCGACCTGGCCCCTGACCCCGACCTGGGCACGCTGGCTGCCCTCACGCCTCAGAACGAGCGGCCCCAGCCCACCGGGAGCCAGCTGGACGTGTCTGAGCCGGGCACCCTGTCCTCCATCCTCAAGTCCGAGCCCAAGCCCCCTGGGCCGGGGCCGGGGCCGGGCGCCGGGGCGGGCGCCGGGGCGGGCGCCGGGGCGGGGGCCGTGGCGGTCACCTCCTCCCCCTTCACCAAAGTGGAGAGGACCTTCGTCCACATCGCGGAGAAAACCCACCTCAACGTCATGTCTTCCGGCGGACAGGGCTCCCGGCCCGAGGAGCTCAGCTCGGGGGGCGAGCTGGGCCTGGGGGTGCCCTCGGAGGGGGGGCCGGCAGAGGAGGGCGCCTCTGTGCCCCTGGAGAACGGCGTCGCCCAGTCGGGCCCTCCCGGGGACACCGCCACGGAGGTGGCCACGGGCTCCCTGCCCAATGGGGCACCCCCTGTGGACGGGCCAGCCCCAGCCTCCCCGCTGGAGCCGGCCCCCGAAAGACTGGCCGCCGGCTCCCCCAGCCACCGCGCCCCGCCGGGCCCGCGCGGCCGGAGCCGCATCCCGGTCCTGCTGTCGGAGGAGGACACGGGCTCCGAGCCCTCGGGCTCCCTGTCGGCCAGAGAGCGGCGGGGCAGGCGGGGGAGGCCGCAGGACCTGGCGCGGCTGGTGATGGAGAAGCGGCAGGGCCGCCTGCTGCTGCGGCTGGCCTCCGGGGCCTCCTCGTCCTCCAGCGAGGAGCGGCGCCGCGCCTCCGAGACCTTCTCGGGCACCGGCTCCGAGGAGGACATGCCCGCCTCCGAGCCCGCGGCGCCCGGGAGGGCCGGGCGGGCGGCCCCCCGGAGCCGGATTCCCCGCCCCATCGGCGCCCGCAAGCCCACGCCGGCCCCGGCCCAGCGGTCCCCCGGCAGACCCCCTGGCGCGGCCCGGGCATCGGACACAGCCATCACCAGCAGGTGAGGAGCCGCTGCCAGCCCAGGCCTCCGCCAGCAGGGGCTTCCCCGGGCTGAGGGCAGGGGCTGTCAGGACTCAGGAAGGCCCCTCAGATGGACCTCCTGTCCACCACCAAGAAGTCTCTCTTCTGACTCAGGTCCCAGTCCTGCCCCTGGGCTCAAGGGGGCGGATGCAGGGAGCCTGCCTGGAGGGGTGCCAGGGAGGCCAGGTTTGGGAAAGGTTGATTGGGGCCTCTGGTGTGTCATTAATATAAGTAAGGGTATATTATAGACTAGAAGGTAAAACCCATGGGGATTTGGAAGAGGAAGGAGAGGTGCCAAAGCAAGCCTGCAGGGGGCTCTCTGGCTCAGTTTACCTCTCTGTGCCAGGGCTCAGCCAGGCCTGCGGGTACAAGACTGGAGGGCTCAGTGCCATTCTGAAAATGACTCTCCTTTTCCCTCCTTCTCTTCTCTCCTGTTTCTGCCCCCCACTCCCCCGCAGGGTCCAGCTGCAGAAGCCCCCTGGGTCGGCCACACCCGCTGACTTCGGTCCCAGACAGCCCCTGGGCCGGGGCCAGGGCCCGGGGCGAGGCCCCGCCAGCACCAGGCCGCCCGCCCCGCGCAGCCCGGGCCTCCCCGCCGCCGCGCGCCCCGCCAGCGCGTCCCCCGGCAGCCGGTCCCTGTCCCGCAGGGAGAGCCCCTCGCCCTCGCACCAGGCCCGGCCCGGGGCCCCCCCGCCCCGAGGCGCCTCCCAGGCCCGGGCCGAGCCCGACGGCACCCCCTCCCCGGGGGGAGCCAGGAAAGGACCCAGAGGGAAGCCCCAGACTCAGCGCGCAGCGACCAAAGGCCGGGCCGGGGCCGCGGAGGGCTGCGCCGGGGCCAGATCATGACGCCGGGCTCCACGTGGGCCTCCCTCCGCCCCGCCCGCAGCGACCACGCCGGATCAGCTCCCAGCACAGCCTTAGGCGCGGATAGCGCCCCCGCGGCCCCAGCTTCCTGCCTGCGCCCGTGCTTGCCCAGCCAGGCTCCGCCGGTGGGGGGCGCCTCACCGCAGGGGCAGAGCTCGCCTCCCCTTCCTTCCCCAGCACCTGCTGCCCCTCCGCTGGAAGGCCCAGCCGCTCTGCGCGGAGGCCCCACTCATGGGACCGCCCGCCCTCCCGCCAGGCCTCCGCTGCGCTCCACGCCCCACCCCAGCACTCTGCTTACACCTCCTGCAGAGCCTCTCCCTCCTCCAGCCTCTCCAGCCAAAGCCCCCCTCTGGGAAAGGCAGCCTCAGTTTACCCAAGCGGAGGCTCCAGCCTCCCCAGGGGTCAACCCCACAGCCTCCTGGGAAGGACCTCTTCGCAGCGGCTAGACTGGGGCTGGGGAGGGGGACCGAAGGCCATCGGTTTACTCAGGTGTGAGGCCAAGCAAGACCCGCCCCAAAGCTCATTCTGGACACCCTGTGGGCGGGGCGGCCGTGAAGTGCAAGTCCCCGCACCGCGTATTTGGGGGTCTCCGTCGGAACTATGGGGTGCCCGGGCACGTGTTTCCCAGAGGGGAGCTGGAGGAAGGGCTTTAAAGAGTGTCACTTGTCCTTGGCCCCCCTCCAGTGCTCAGGGCCCTCAGCACCCGGAATTCCTTACGGCGTCTAGCTCCGCTCCGCCTCCTGCGGTTCCAGCCAGCTCCCTTCTCTCCTGGTTCAGTGGAGGTGGAGAGTGGCTGGTCACCATCTCTCACTGGCCCTTTGGAGATTCAGGGACACAGCTCTGGCCAGGCCACCCTCCCTGTTCACCTGGCTGTGACCATCATGTCCCCCTGTGGGCAGAGAGAGCAGAAACAGACAGACAGACAGACAGACACAGCCGGCCCCTGGACTCAAGGCAGAAAGGCCCTTCTAGCTTCCAGATTCTGTGCTTGTGCGATGGGCCCAGCCCACGTCCTCTCTTCCCCCAGCTCACCCTTAGCTCATCCCTCTTGTCATAGCCCCACACCATGTCCCCGGAGGGTGTGAGGGCTGCTCTGCTCCACCAATGGCCTGGGGCCTCCTCCCAGGTCTGGCTCCTGCACAGCTCTCATCGGGCCCATCACAAGCTCAGCTGCCCACGCCTGGGCCAGCCAGTACACTGGCTGCAGAAGGGACAGCCAACCCTGCTCTCTCGGACAGGTCCCGGCAGGCCGCCTCCATGCTCAGCACCCACAGCCTCAGTCCTCTGCCCTGCCCCTCTGTTCTTCCCTGGGTCGTGGGGAACAAGAAAAGACAACCAGGGAGAGAGGAAGGAAGGAAGGCCCCAACGATGCCCCAGGGACTAGCCACCATCGCCAGAAAGGATGCCCATGGGGAAGCTGACCCAGGGGGCGGCCTGGTGGTGCCCGCTGAAGCCCTCCAGGGAGAGTCAGCAGGCTTGGGCAGCTGCCTCCTTGCCGAGGTGGTGGCTCCTCTGCAGACCAGCCTAGGGGAGGACTCCAGGGTGGACAGCCCCCGAGGTCCACCCCACGCTGACGCAGAAGCTCCCAGAACACTCAGGAAACCTCTCTGGACGGAGGCCTCGTTGTCAACCCGAGACCCTCCCGAGACCTCTACTGCCCTCTGGGTCCAGCAGGGGTGGGGGGGCCATGCCCTCCCACCCAGAGCTGCTCTGAATGACAATCAGCTCCCGCCAGGCGGGGACCAGGGCATGACTCTGGCACCCAGCTCCTGGACCTGCTCCTTGCTACCAACCGAACTGTGAATGTAGGGCCCCCAGCCTCACCCTGGCTTGGTGTTGGGAGGAAAAGGGGGTGGCCCACCCTGCCATCCGTCACCCAGCACCGAGGTGGGCAGGGCTGCAACACCCTGTCTGCCCTTGGGAGACCAGCCCTCCCGGGGCCCTAACTGACCTCAGGCCTCGCGTCACTGAATGTCACCAGAGTTGGGGGAGGAGGGGCAGGGGCGAGTGTGGGAAGCGGCTAGAGGATTCTGCTTCTCTCCCCGGGAAGGATCCAAGGCAGAGAAAACCATGTCTCCCAGGGCCCCATCCCCAGCTGCAGCCTCCTCCCTGGAGCACCTGCCCCCTCCACGGAGCTCTGCGGGTCCTGAGCCTCTTCTGTCAGAGCGTCACCACCCCACCCCACCCTCACCCCCCCCACCCACACCTCCCCACCCACACCCCCACCTACACCTCCCCACCCACACCCCCACCACCCCCATCCTCACCACCACCACCCCACCACCACCCCCACCCCAACCAACACCACCCCCACCCCCACCTCCCCCAGCCCCCCACCCCCCCTACCCCACCACCACCCCACCACCCCACCACCACTCCCACCACCCCAACCCCACCCCCACCACCCCCACCACCCCCACCCCCATCCCCACCCCCGCACCCCTACCCCCCCCACCGCACCCCACCACCACCACACTCCAGCACTTCCTCCTCATGGCGGGGCTGCCCACCCCAGACATGCCTTCCCTCCCCAGCCTCACTGTGCACCAGGAGGGTGCAGGAGAAGGCTGTACCCCAGGCTCATGGGCGCCCCCCCCCCTCCCAGTTCCTTCCAGGGGCCTGGCTTGCTCAGTCTTCTCTGGGGACCAGCCCTGGTGGCGGGTAGGGGTTGGGGACAGGGAGTTGCCCTCCCCTTCTCCAGGGAAGCCACAGAAGAATGTTTACATGCCAAACAGAATGTAACGCCCGCCCCCAGTCACTGCATGGCCTCTGCCCGCCCTGCACCTGCCCGCCCCACCCCGGCATCCTGGAAGCCGCTGTCACGATTTGATCGGGCCTCAGAAGGGAAGCAGCCATCACACCATTAAAAAGCCTGTGGACCTTTCCTTCTGCCTGGACTCTTCTTCCTTCTGGGAGAGGGCAGAGACCGCCCCGGCGGGGGTGGCAGGAGAGAAGAGCAGGAGTTGGTGGGCACGTGTGGACGGGGACGGCCTGTGACGGGGGCAGATGGTCTCTCCCAGCAGAAATGGAAGCTCGGAGGAGGCAGGTAACCAGCTCAGGGTCACGCTGGTGGGAGGGACTTCCTCCTGTCTCTGATGGCAACGCTGCGCCCCCTTGGCTCCCCTGGCTGTCTGACCAAGGGCCAGAGACTCTCAGTCTAGCTTTGTGCAGGAAGGAAGAGAGGAAAAATGGTCAGCGCCCAGAAGTTAACAGGTGAAAATGAGTGTGTTTGGAAAACCATAACGTGCAACAGCTCACAGGCAAGGAAGAACAATGGTCACTATTCTAGCAAAACCTATGAAAATCACAAATGAACGTGGCCTGTGGCTCAGCCCTTCAGGAAAGGTATCCTAAACTCACAAGGTTGTCTAAAAGTAGTCATTGCAGCATTCTCTGTACAGATCCACAAAGCCTACCTCAGTTCTGAAGCCCCAAAAGTTCTGAAAACAGAGTTTTTCCATTAGATTGGCACAAGTCTTTGACAAGACTATTTGTAGTCTTTTAAAATATATGTAATTTTTTTCTTTTTAAAGATTGTTGATTTCAGAGAGGAGAGGAAAAGAGAGGGAGAGAGAGAAACATCAATGATGAGAGAGAATCATTGATCGGCTGCCTCCTGCACGCTCCCCACCAGGGATCAAGTCCAAAACCCAGGCATGTTCCTGACCGGAAATTGAACTGAGACCCCTGGTTCAAGATGAACACTCAAACATCGAGCCAAATGTTTGGCTGGGCTATAGTCATTATCAGTTCCACTTATCATACATGTTTGCAGTGGAAATAATAATGTGATTATGGGGTGCTGTCTTAGATTCTATTGGGGGTTTTCATAATGCATGGAATATGCACTGAATTGCCTTTTTAAATATTACATACACATGTGTTTAATTGTAAAGAAATTGATCCCGATGGTTTGGGTAAGAGACAGTGGACCTGTAGCAGAAGTTCAGATGAAATCTAAATGCCTGTTTGTTGGGACTGATTATTTCGAGCCTCCCATATGATGGGGACCCCACTGTCTGGTACTGTGAAGATCTATAGCAGGTGGCTCTTTGTAGACACTTTCGACTGGTCTCTAAAAGAGTAAAAAAAAAAATTGTGTGTATAATGTGCACCTATTTATTTTTTATTTTATTTTTTATTAAAAAAATATTTTTTGTTTCCGAGAGGAAGGGAGAGGGAGAGAGAGATAGAAACATCAATGATGAGAGAGAATCATTGATTGGCTGCCTGCTGCACACCCCACATTAGGATTGAGCCTGCAACTGAGCATGTGCCCTTGACCTGAATTGAACCTGGGACCCTTTAGTCCACAGGCCGATGCTCTATCCACTGAGCCAAACTGGCTAGGGCTAATGTGCCTGTTTAGATGAGTTGCTTCTGGGAGGCAGGCTAGGGGGGAAGGAAGCTTTACAATAGTGTATTTGCTATACCTTTTGCATTTTGGACCTTAGATTCACTAAGTGTGAATCTTTCATCTGGGTAACACCATAAACAATTTCTGTCCCAGGGCAGCCTCCTGGCCCTGCCTGGGGTCTGAGGTAAGACAGCCCAGGCTCCAAAGTCATGCTTTCCCTCTGCGAAGACCCCCAGACACAGCTCTAACATCCCGGAACCTGTGTAACCCTCTTCTGTGTCCCACAGTGGCCTCCTGGAAGCCCCTTTTCTCCAAACGGGCACCAGGGGGCTCTTGGGCCTGATTCACCAGCCTTCATTAAGGCACTCACATGCTTTCATCTTCCTTGTTCAAAAATGTCAAAAGTGCCCTAGCCAGTTTGGCTCAGTGGATGGAACGTTGGCCTGCAGACTGAAGGGTCCCAGGTTCAATTCTGGTCAAGGGCATGTACCTTGATCCTCGGGCGGGGGGGGGGGGGGGGGGGGGGCGTGCACGAGGCAGCTGATCAATGCTTCTCTCTCATTGATGTTTCTAACTCTACCTCTCTCCCTTCCTCTTTGTAAAATTATATATATATATATATATATATATATATATATATATATATATATATATATGTATTTATTTATTTATTTATTTTTTAGATATCAAAAGCAAGCCATGTTTGCAGTAAAAAGGCAAATGCTAAAAGTACATAAACTGCCCTCGCTGGTTTGTTTCAGTGGATAGAGTGTCAGCCTGTGGGCTGAAGGATAATGGGTTCGATTTCTGGTCAGGGCACATGCCCGTGTTGTGGGCTCAACCCCCAGTAGGGAACGTGCAGAAGGCAGCTGATCAATGATTCTTTCTCATCATTGATGTTTCTCTCTCTCTCTCTCTCTCTCTCTCTCTCTCTCTCTCTCTCTCTCTCTCCCTCCCTCCCTCCCTCCCTCCCTCCCTCTCTGAAATCAATAAAAAATATATATTTAAAAAGCATATACACTAAAACATGACAGCCCTTACCTAGGAATATGATCATGTAAAGGTAGTGTATTTAGAGTTGTGCAGCCATCACCACAATCAGTATTAGAACATTTCCATCACCCACTAGTAGTCACTCCCATTTCCCCCCAAACCCTAAGCAACCACTAATCTACTACTTT